CTTGACAGATAAAGACAGTCTTGGAATCAGCGTTTGGTGCTCTTTGGATTGATACATGTTTCATGTGGAAAGCCGATTTCGATTTCGGGTCCTTTGTTGGTAACTTCCGATTAAAAATTTGAAAATTAGCGAAATCTCAGTATGCTAAGAATAGACGATTGTAAGATTCGGCGATTGTCTCAGCGCTTGTCAGGAAAATCGCGTCGGTAACAAAGCTGCCGGAAAGAGGAAAAAATTACGGTTACAGTTTGAATGATTTGTTTATCTTTACGAGATTTGTGGGTTGGTGATAAGGAAAATTTTTTTGCGTCGACCCAATATTAGGTGGGAAACTGAGTATCGATGGGTCGATGCAAAAAAAGCAAATTTTCTAATAACTTTCTTTTCTTTAGTTATGACGCAGTCAAATTCTAAAACAATGTTTTGACTAAAACCTCGCGTACGGATAAGGATAAGGAAAATTTTTTTGCGTCGACCCAATATTAGGTGGAAAACTAAGTATCGATGGGTCGATGCAAAAAAAGCAAATTTTCTAATAACTTTCTTTTCTTTAGTTATGACGCAGTCAAATTCTAAAACAATGTTTTGACTAAAACCTCGCGTACGGAGGTTGACCGACAATGATCACGAAAACGATACTGAGATTGCATGGTAGGGGCTTTCTCTAAATGACCACTGTAGGTTTACGGTATAGGGCCTCACAATAAAGAAGAAAAGAGGCGTCAATTCAACAAACGAATGATGATGTTGACCTGCCAAACACGAATGATATTCGTGCGTGGCAGGTCAAATAAACCTCACTATGCAAAGTCTCGGCTATTTCTGAAAATTTTAAATCCTAAGTGTTGTTGACGGATGTCCCCAGCAGCCTTACGCACAGCGATTCGTTCAATTCAACTTCGTGAATGCGCCAGATCACTAACTTTTTGTGACTTTATTTCTCTTCTGATAAACAAATGAGTCGACCTCTAGCAACAACTCACGTGCAGTTTTGGATCATGTGCATGTTCTTGGTAAAGAACGGCTTCATCTCTCTCAAAAGCCCATAAGTTCTCGAAACTCACTGATTTTCAAAGAATGCCTCTCATTTCTTTTCAAAAATCGAACAGTTTGTGTACGGTATAAGAAATTATTTATAACGCTATGATTTTGGGGTGGACGGGAGTCTAAGAACTGAAACGGCTGTGCTTGTAGACTGATCCGTTCGATATAGGCTCCCAAATATTCCAGTAACTTCTGTCCGAATCTGTTTGTTGAAACATAGGTACACTATACCATGTATACCTAAAATGACAAAAGTACTTCGCTCATTGCATTTTCACTATAAGCTTCCCAATATAACGGCAACAGACAACTGAAACAAAAAATCACCATGACTCAGCTGCCATAACACATATGTAAAAATAACTACAGCTTTTGGAACTGGAATGAATTGCAAAAGCACGTATAGGAAAGTAGCGATGCCAGTCGATAAACAGATCAAAAGTACTTGCATGAACATCTGCAAGATGAAGAATTATATCATTTGCTTGAACTACTATCTTGCTGCATATTCTGTCCGTTGCAGTTTTCAAATCCACAATATCACAACCCCTTTCAGAATCAGCTTTTTTGAACCTCAGTTTTGTGGGCTGGACAGTTTTTGGCAAAAATTCCGAAGAATTGGGGGAGGGGAACAGAAATCTTTTTTGAACGCGGATGAGGCTCTGATAGTGTCATTCGAGTAAATTTCCAGTATCTCAGGATGCTCCCCAAATTTTTTGCTTAAATTTGGCTTAAAAATTTTGGAAAAAGGTTTGCGCAAATTCGAAGCTTATACAAGCTACTTTCAAAAACTTCGCAAACCACTGCCATCTTTTTAGGGCGAGGGCAGGTGCTCCAAGCTCCCCCCCCCCCCGCCGTGCTTCCCCGCTCTGATCCGCCGTTGTAAAATTAGAGCCAAAAATGCAACTTCAAAATATGAACCTAAAATATTTAGTGGGCTTATACGCCCTTGTTTGATACATATCCTGTTATCAGCATCAATATCCGTCAAATGCGGCCCTTTTCCTGTTTGACCTCTCCTCCCAGATGTAGCGTACCTCCCCACGCTTGACTCTGATTCTAATTAACACTCTTTACAAAGCAGACGAGCTTTCACGGAATCGAAATATAATTTTTCGAATTTTTTGTGTGCAACCTGATGCTTGGTAAGAGCATGAATCATGTTAGTTATAACCCCAAAAATCTTAAGAAGAGAAAATCCCTTTATAAGAAGTGTGCTGCATCAATGGTACGCGAGTACTCGCTGGTTGATGTTCGACGAGGTCTTAATTGACCAAATATTGATTTTTGATAGCAACAAAGAAATAATTTGAAAACCCTGAAGCAAGCTTTGAAAGGAAAAAAGTTGTTTTTTATTTTGTAGGGTTTGCTCTCTCTACACGTTACTTGCAATTCTTCGGGCCATCGTCAAAAAATTTGAAAATTAGCGGAACTTGGTCATGGCAGAAACCATGGGTCGTAGTTTTCTCTGCTTTTCTGAGAGCTCGTTGATATATTTGCAACAAATATGAGATATTCCATAACATTTAGTCCAGCAATAGCCCATATTCTTCTTGTTTTTCTGAACGGTCCCGCGATACCACTCGACAGAGCAGGACAAGCTCTACAAGATAACAGCCAAATGATCTGATCAAAGACTATTCTGCATAAATTTCGAAGCCGAAATTTAGTGAGATCTGAGGTTTAGTTGAGAGAAATCGTATCTTTGTTCAAATCCGAAGTATCCTACTGCTCAAGCACGTACTATCCACAACGGGCAATTGTATATACATTTGCTTATTTTCTCCATGGGGCTAGGAATGGAGAAGTAAGTAATTTTCATGTTTCAACAAAGTTGCAGTGGGCTGCACCCTCACAGGTAATTTTGCAGTTTGAACCTTTGGAAGTATAACCATGATTTTTTGGCCTTAAGCGATAGTTTTTGAGAAATAAAAGATTTAGCAGTGTAGGGAGGACCCACAGATAGGACTGGGTGGTCTATCAACAGCATACTTACGCAACTGCTCAAATTCATCCCCTCGCACCTGGCCAACACTAAAATGTTTTTAAACCGCCTACGCGCAACGCACATTGATCGTAACTGCGTTGTGGAGTCGTTTAATGTCAATGCGATTCATACCATTCATACCAACGCGAGCAATGAGTCCACAATGCAAGCTGTCTTTGAGCTTCTATTGAGCAACGAAAGCAGTATAAACCTGGGCTCTCTATTCCACAAATTATGGCTCGCAAGCGTGCTTAGACTGCAACATCTTTAGGTGGTCTGGGAGCTACTTCGCGCAGATCAGAGGTCTGGCCATGGGACAAAGGTTAGCACCCACACTAGCTATAGCCTTTATGGCAAAAATCGAAGCGCCAATTTTGGAGTGCCGTCTCTTGCTCTATTACCGATACATAGATGACTGCTTCATCTGCGTGACCAGAGAGATGTCGATAAATGTTTTCAATTACTCAACGAGCAATCACAGTGTATACAGCCCCCACAAGCTAGAAGCCCAGCAGCGAAAATGTACAGATCAACATTTTTCGGGTATGTGTGCGACAAAATGGTACCGCAAGTCGAGCAACAAAAACATTATCGTCCACTTCCAATCAGCACATCCGCTCCAAACAAAGAGAGCTGCAATCAAAAATGTTCCGCACAGCATCCCAGATTTGTGGTGTTCACCAGGAAAGGATAGAATCATTAGCCCTTGCACGCATAATAGTTTCTTCTAATGGGTATGTAAATCATGCAAGGGCGCCTAGGAGTAGAAGAGAACAGCTTCACGTGAGAACATCCCAGACAAATGCTAAGTGTTATCAGTTTTTCTTCCTCTTTCCACCAGTCATGTTCTGGGACCATTTGCTTCCGTTTCCTAGATATTTCCCAAAATTTCAAACCCATGGCTTTTACCATGCCCAATTTTGGCATTTTTCAAAACCTTCATTATGAAGTTTTGGGAAAGCTTTGATAACATTTGGATACCGTAAACAAAGTGCAATCAGTGAAATTTTTTGGTACCTATAGCTGGCTTTCCAAAATTTTCAAAATTATATTTCTGATGCTATCAAATTCCAATTTTGGTCATCTCAAAACTCACAGAACATCAAAAGGAGCGCAGCTAAGATGGCATTCGATGCTGCTTTTTTTCCCTTTTTTGACAGACTTTTTTCTTCCCAATTCGTGGAGTATTTGGCGATAAAACTATCATGATATCTGAATTTGAGCCCGCTCCATGCTGTACCCGTAGAACGCGAGAATTGATATTTTGAAGCGGCAAACACTTCAATGCTTTGTAAAGTTAGTGTGTTATCATAATCGATCTTTGCAGGTTTCAAATTCCGACAATTTGGTAGCGTTAGAAGCCCTTGTGTATATTGCGACTTAGCAAAAATAAAGACATTTGGAAAAGTTATCCCAATGCTAGGAAGCTTATTGGAGATACGAGAAAATTGTGTTGCATTGCGCTTTGTTTACGCTATCTAACTGCTGTAAAAGCTTTTCTAAAAGTTCAAAATGAAGATTTTGAAAAATTGGCAAAGTTGGGGATGGTAAAAACCATTGGTTTCGAATTTCGGCATTCAGCTTGGAAACTAAGAAAGCAAATGGTCCCAAAACACGACTGGTGGAAAGAGGAAGAAAAACCGCGTCTGATAGTGCTTAGAGCATTTACCTGCCTTAATTTCACATGTTTTCATGACAGCTTGAAAAAACGGAAAGAACTTTCGGACTGACCTAATAGATTTCATTGATGGAAACTTACAAGAAAATGATAATTACTCGAATTTGGCTACTTTTCACAGCTCCAGTTAGGTTACTTTTCTATGCAGTATATCACTCAGATATATGCATATGCCCAAGATCCAGCATTAGTGCACTATCCTACCTCGACAAGCCTGCTAAATCTCCCTTTCGGTACAGCTCTGTCTTTTACTTGAATTAATTGTTCTTGTGTATCTTCTGTAGATATCTATCATAGTTTACCAGTATTCACCTTATAATGTGTGACGTATCCAGCCGTACCACGCGCATGCCACATATGACAGCAGACAATAGAATACAGCGTCACTAGCGTCACGACTACTGTGCAATTGTGAATGACTATATAAACGGATGTAAAGTGAATCTGCTCCTAAAACTGACATATCCAATTTGATGTTTCTTGTTGACTCTCAGAAGCGCAACGGTAACGAACTTACCCAATCATAATCCTTTATCATGGGTAACCCTATAAAAGCAGAAACAGTTGAATTAAACGGTGCAGGCCTAAACACGAACCATGCCACAAGCGTGTAAGCTAGTGAAAGCACAATCCACATGTACACGGTTCTGCCTGGAAACAATTTTCCATTAAGTCTTGGTTGTAAGAGAGTAAAGCTGATACCATGGAAAAGAAATTGAAAATTATTTGCCATTGGCATCATTTCGACGTATCTGTTGAGAGCCAGAACCACGCAGTTGAAAGATGATCCAAGCCACAGACCTGCAGTGCGTAATATCGTTAAGATAGAAGGCATTCTGACCAGAGGTGCGATAGGGGGAGCCGGGTCCCCCAAAAGTGAAGGTGGTTTCAGCTACCACTGGCCGGCCAAAAGTGAAGGTGGTAGTGTCGGACACTCACCTCCCAAAAACGTCGACGGGGGGGGGGGGGGTGCGGGGGGAGGATAGAACGGACGAACGGAGCTATCTTTCTAGGTCTAACGTCGACCCAACGGCCCTCTTTAGGGCCACAGATACGATGAATATTAAAAATATCTATAAATTTTATTTATAAAAATTTAAAATAGACGTGTTTAGTAAATGGTGTATTTGGAAGTAGAAGTTTGTTGGACTGTACGGATTTTATTAAGCAAATTTTGTTATAACGTACAGCGAAGAAAGTAGATCGATCCAGGCAGTAACGGCCGAGAATCAGAATTTCGAATAAATAAATAGTGAAAAATCATGCAAAATTTCCACTGTTATAAATCTGTTGTTTGAAGATGTCAGCAGTTGCGACTTCATAGGTTTTAAAGAGTAAATGTTGCTCTATCAGCTAGTGAAGGAATCGGGTCGATTTAAGAGATAGTCGTTGAAAACCAGAGTTCTAAAACTTTACGCCATTTTTGCGTGTTTTTTGACTGTTGAGAGTTAAACTCTTATAAATCTTGAATGTGGAAGTGTATGATGTTGCGACTTCATAGGTTTTATAGAGTAAGATTTGCCTTATCAGAATATGTCTTGTCCGTTCCGATCCATTGAAACACCTCCGAGATCCAGAGTCATGAAAAAGCAGGTAAAAAAGAGCTTTTTGAAATTCAACAGCTCATAACTTCTTCAGGATTGCACGAATCATGTTGCGACTTCATAGGTTAGATTCTTCTCGTCAAGAGCTTTCAGATGATATATAATATGTGGGGGTTTCGCGCCTCTTACGGCATATGCCCGGGGGGTGGAGACTTTTTAGGCCAAAGTCTCCCCCTCGCCCATTTTAATGTATTGGCTGGAGGCTGCCGGGGGAGACTTTGGCCTAAAAAGACTCCCCCCCCCGGGCATATGCCGTAAGAGGCGCGAAACCCCCACATATTATATATCATCTGAAAGCTCTTGACGAGAAGAATCTAACCTATGAAGTCGCAACATGATTCGTGCAATCCTGAAGAAGTTATGAGCTGTTGAATTTCAAAAAGCTCTTTTTTACCTGCTTTTTCATGACTCTGGATCTCGGAGGTGTTTCAATGGATCGGAACGGACAAGACATATTCTGATAAGGCAAACCTTACTCTATAAAACCTATGAAGTCGCAACATCATACACTTCCACATTCAAGATTTATAAGAGTTTAACTCTCAACAGTCAAAAAACACGCAAAAATGGCGTAAAGTTTTAGAACTCTGGTTTTCAACGACTATCTCTTAAATCGACCCGATTCCTTCACTAGCTAATAGAGCAACATCTACTCTTCAAAACCTATGAAGTCGCAACTGCTGACATCTTCAAACAGCAGATTTATAACAGTGGAAATTTCGCATGATTTTTCACTATTTAAATATTCAAAATTCTGGTTCTCCGCCGTTACTGCCTGGATCGACCTACTTCCTTCGCTATACGTTATAACATAATTTGCTTAATAAAATCCGTACAGTTTTGCTAAGCTTTACTTCCAAATACACCATTTACTAAAAACCTTTATTTTAAATATATATGCCGCCGTATACATAAATATATGCTTTCAATAATCTTTTTTGCGTTTGTTTTGCTTATTTTCCTTCTTTGTCGTCCAGCGAAAAATTTTTTATTCCAAAAGTGAAGGTGGTCACCCCGTACCAGCTCAAAAGTGAAGGTAGGAGGAGACTTGGCTCCCCCTATCGCACCTCTGATTCTGACGCTTAGAGGAATTACTTTGGTTGCTAACTGATTGGCTAAATGCGATAAGATATAGAGAGCAGTGACAAATGGAGAGGACTGAATGCAGCTCAACAAGTGTTATCTCGATGGCCAGTAATCTGACTAGATTGCTGTGTGTTTGCCGTCGTATTGACAGCACTTAAGCGGCTCCAAACTTCGTTGCAAAAATCTGAGAAACCGTTCAAAGGGAAGCCATTCGATTTTTGTCTACTACTGCATGTATCTGGCTGCACAAAGTTTTTGTGATTTGGTGCGGCTCCTCGTTGGCTACATAAAAAAGCGACGGAAAGCAAACTAATATTGACAAATGAGGCAAGATCACCATGAGAACCACCCCTTTCGGGTGTAAAATAAGTTTTTGGAGGTTTTTTTTTGGTAAGCCAAATAATTTGCCTCAATGTTAATTATGCGGAAGTTGATGTATCTCTGATTCGCAGTCATAGCTTTAGTCAGAGTATTTTGTGCGCAGGTAGTTGTGCGCAGTTTATTCGGTTTTTAGTCTCGCTCCTTTTATATCCGCATATCAAATTTTAGGGTTTTTGTAACAAATGGAATTCTTGTTTGGGTTGAGCTATGATTGCCCGAGGCACTTCTGCTTCTTTTTGAGATCATTACGAGAGGTGAGACCAAGATAGCTGATGTAACAAAATCTTCCTGCTGAATGTAGAAGGATGATGTTGTACAAGCGTGCTACGCCCTTATGAAAGTTAAGTTATGAAGTTGAAGGATGTTACAAGTTGATTTTTGAAGATTTGAAGGCCACTTAACTTATGGGGACAAGCTCGCAGCTACAGTAGCCAGACTGCAAGCGCCTACGTTATCAATAAAAAGTGAATTGACCTCATTCCACTCTAACTTTGATTGGCTTTTGTTCACTTTGACATACTTCAACTTACTGATACCACCAACGCTCGGACATTTTAGCACCTTTTAAGATGCAGAAACCCACTGTATGCAAAGTGACCTGCTATCCAGCCAAGCACCATTGAAGAACAGAATACAGCACCAGTCTAAAATACGTGCTTTTCACCCGTTATTCACAGTGCACTTCTGCTTATGGGTTCTGAGAGGACTAACGAAATGAAAATACGTCATAAATGAAATCAAAAGAAGTTGAAAGATATCGAAAATCCCGTTGAAAAACATTAGCTTGTAGCATGAATTTTTCAACACTTTTCCACGATACATTCCGTACAAGCATAGCACATAGAGGATCTGCAAGATCACGTGTTTGATTGTATAGGATTCTAGTGCGAAAACGCATATCTTTGCAAAAGGCACTCAAAATAACTCCGTAAATTTTCAACCTACCGTGAACGGTATTCCTACGACAAGAAAGTAACATCCCTGTATCGTGTTGACAGAGCCGCTGCTTTGCCATTCTGCGTAAGTCCTTGAGCTGCAGTTATAATCTTCTTCATCAATGTTCCAAGGAAAATGGATGTAAAACAAGTACATATTTCGAAGGCTTTAAAGCTTGAACTGTAAATCGTATCTGGAAGAGTTCTTATCGAAGAAAACTGAAAATATGATTAAGCATGAAAACTCACACGAAAATGAATAAGTTAAAAACAAGCCGTTGACGGATTGTAAATGATTTGGTCTAGACATATACAAAAAACACTACAATCATAATAACACAAACCAATCGGAAGTAAGGTATCATAGGCATACCTTCGATAGTCTAGAGACAGGGCGCCAAAAGTGAAGGTTGTTTGAACATCTGACGTCATAAATAGTGAAGGTTGTTTGAAGAAGATCAGAGAAGAAAAAATGACGTAAAATGGATATTAAAAGCAAGAGAAACTGCTGAAAACCAGATAAAAATGCTGCAATAAGGTTTGAAATCTTTCGTTTGGCGGCTTTTTAAAGTGCAAGTTTTCGCCTCAAGACCAGCAATTCGCAACGCGGGGTTTTGAATTTTGATGCGTCCTTTGAATTTTTACCCTCGCGCCGTCCCTCTTGTACCCTGCGACGTTGTCTGGATTCTTCCGCTCATCATTCTGAGCAAGTATCGTCCAAGCTGGAGAAAATTCGTTGCGAAACCACTGAAAAAGAATAAGGTAAAGAAAAACGCATTTTTTTGTAATTTTCACAAAAAAACCGGCATAAGCAGAGAAATAAGCTCGGCGACGTTGTCTACATTATAAACAGAAACAAGACCTATCGACTACACAAAAAAACTGCGTGAAAAGAGTCAAACTAGGAGAAAAACGAGAGATTCTCGAAAACAAGGTTTTTGCCGGATTTCTCGTTTAAATCATAAAAAGGAGTCTTGCGACGTTGTCAGCGTGAAAATAGAGATCAAGGGCTTCAAAATGATATATAGCTTGCTAAAATTGGGTTCGAAACAGCGAAGAAAAGGGTACCAGAGCCAAATGCCCCGCGCCCCGCGTTTGGGGTGCGAGGTAGCGCGCAGCGCGCGGAGACGCAGACGAGCAGCGGAGACAGACCAGAGCCGGCGGGGCATTTGGTCATTGATCTCCGCGGGGTCATAACAAAACCCTATAATATTGTATATCGTTGTGATCCTCATGAGACGTCCAGGAGCACTGACAACGTCGCAGGTCTTGAAAATCACTCCATAACGAGATAGACCAGCATTTATGTGGCGACTCTCTGCGCAAGATTTCAGCGCAGTTTCTCGTTTTTATTGAATTCCAGCGGCTTTCATGAACCTCCAACGCTCAATCGCAGTCTACAGAAAGGTTAAATGATAAGTTTTATCCTAATTTCTAACTGAATTTTTTTAAGAAAAACCTCCTTTTCAGCAAAAAGGGCCATAAAAACGCGATCCTTCGGTTTTTTGAGCTTTTTCTGGATGTCACTACTATATTTGCCTCATTCACATTCATCCTTACATAGTTAGTCATTAGTTATATCATAATATCCGGGCTTCGCCCCGGATGACTTCTGTATTCCTCTCCAGGTGAAGGTTGTGTCCTCTCATGACACTCAAAGTGAAGGTTACCAGAGTACGTGGCTCTATGTATCGAAGGTATGATCATAGGTATTTAGGCACAAACAGGAAGACCTTTATATAACTCCGACGATGTCAGCGGCATCGTAACAGAGTATAGGTATAGAACCCTTACGTCGTTTATATTTTTTTCGCAATTATTATTTTTTGCAGAATTTGGAAGATAATTGGAGCCATCTATAGTAGTTTACTCCGACGATTTTTTGTAGTAGCAGATCCAAAGATTTCGTTTCTGGTAGCCAATATACTTTTGCAAATATAAGCTTATCATAGTTAGCTCAGTGACTGGAAAATCAAATGACATCTTGACACATTACATAAAAGAAAGAGCGAGTAAAAAATTGCCCGTGATGTCCTTAATAGACTCGAAGGCAGGTCCCGGCAGATTCTCGCCTTGGGGATATTGCTGTGGTGGGATTCCTGATTACGCCACCAACCCCCAGTCCCATTACGGCCAGTTGATGTTCCCCTGCGTCGGGAAAATGGCGCTCGAACCCCAATCGGCGCGAGCTTGCACGACTTCGCTTACCTGTTCAGCGCGGGACCCCAACCGCTTTCCGCATTGTGCATGCTATCCAAAGCAAAAATCACAGGCGGCAGGCTTTTCATACCAGGACCTCCCAACTTTCCACTAAAACTCTCGTCTGAGCTGCTTTTGGAAACTGGGTAAACGCCCCCAAAACGGTATTTTCACTCGGTTCAAAGCTGAAATTTGAGTTCTGCGTGTCGAGAAGGCGTAAAACATGCAAAAAGGTGGAAGTACAAAATCTGCTGGGACACTGCCTTCAACGCGTCCTTACAATACACAGCACCTACCTTTTATTCGCAGTAGCGGACACCATCTCATCTTTTAAAAATATTCACGCCGTATCAGCCTTGCATCTAATAATCCGCCTAAAGCGAAAGTATCACCAAATCATCGATAACATCGAAAAGTGCCATTCATTAAATCAATTGCTGCTCAGCACATTACGCAGTTGTTTAATGGCTCTGCGCTTTTTGCTTTAATTGCACTACTTCTTAGCGCCATCCTCAGGCTGCCTGTTTTCTAACCTCTCTATTTTCTTCTTTTTCTTCCATTAATCGTTGTGAAGAGATACTGTTACATTACAGGTTGGAACATCGTTATATGTGTGAATATTGCGGCTCCATTGAAAGCTTTATCTTGTTGTTTATTTACAGAGACGGAATGATCACTAACTTGGTGCCTATTTTCTAGAATGAATTGCACTAGCGTGTACTTGAACTGCAACGTCCACGAAATAATTCTAGAGACCACCAAAATTCGTAGAATAATCCGTTTTGAGAGCGACCAATTGGCAACGCGAATGCTGCCGTTTGTGCGGAAGTTACACAATCGCGGATTACTTTGATGTCGCCCAAGGTTGGAAATGCGAAATTGTTAAATTGTCAAGGAAAGCGAAATTCTCAGTGAGACCTAGGGCAAGCCTGACGCATTTCGAGCACAGAGAATATCATAACTTTTTTGGATAACGGTCCAGAATCATCGAGAAAAAACTGTGTTGATTATAGAGCACCATCAAAAAAGTTGCGAAACGAAGTCGTTAAATCGATATATCGATTTTCTGAGCTGCAATGCGACTTGCTGTTTTCCACTTATTCCTAAACAATTGTTTTCTTCAACATGATATGCACCGTAGTTGCGATTTGGAAAAGCCGCGCAATTCCACCTTTGTGATTCGGTAAAGCACTGGGAATATTATTTGTGTCGCTTTGATTTTTGGGCGTTTAATTCACTCGAAAAAGAATGACAGTTCATATTTTTAGTGCCATTTTTTTGACATAGGTTTTATGGACTTAACTTCTAATTTCAATGTCTATGTGTGCGGTTCCAGTAGAGTAAACAAAATTAGTAGACACATGTAACGTTTAAAATTTTATTACAAACCGTTGGAAAAAAAACCTTATCACAATGTAATGACAATAAGTATCTCGTACAAACATAAATGTATGATAAAACCCGTTCTCTCGAATTCGCAAACTAGATTCATAGGGTAAACACATGAGGGACTTCTGTACATTTGATATGAAGTGCCATCTTGGGCAAATAAGCGACATAAAGAAGTGCTACGTCGTTGAGATATTCTCCTTTATATAGAAAACTTACATGAGGTATTAGTTTTGGGCCCTTCTTTCGAGCACTCGTTGCCTAATGTTAATTCCCAAGAATAAAATGCTGACTAGAATTAGAAAAACCCCGACTGCCATGTAAGAAATGGCAAGAAAATCCCTTCGTGGTCCAATCCAACTTTCGCGAGAGATTACAAAGGATTTTTCCGCTCCTCGCCACGTGGCTGGGTAATCTAAAATACACAAAAAATTCTAAGGCAGCCTGTGCCAGAAAAAATTGCCAGAAAGAACTCACTGTAATTGATAACCAGTGTATATCTGCCTATGGGAAGACCATCGCTGAAACCATCTACCTAAACCTGCCTTGTTTAGTGCCAGCAGAAGATACATAAAAGCAACGTACTTCTCTATCTAGTATCCTATAAAGTTTACGGAAATTAGGCAATGCAGCCGTCTGCATCCACATAATGAAGTCGATGTTCTCAAACCCAACACCTGCACCTGGAGAATTTGCACCCAGCTCACAGATGTCCTTTTGCCACCACGGTGGTCTCACGGTATCCTGAATTTTGCAGTTGATTATGGCTTCCAGTCGAAAAATATGAATCCGATATAATGGCTACGTTCTTAGAATTTCTAAAAAGTTACAAGTTGTGTCTACAATTTTTCACATGAAGAAATTTCTATTACTGCACGTATTCATTCGAAGCCTCAACTATTTAGCACATCATTGGTTGATATATTATACAATCCTTTCGAAGATTCTTAATCTTATGTCTTTGAACACCTGCTTCAAATGCTTCTTTACTGTGTTCTTCCCTTTGTTTTGATTCTTATCACAAACCGTGTTTATTATGCTTACGGTGCATGCCATATTGCATAATAAAAGTGAAAAAGAAAAAATCGATTACCGCAAACGCGTCACATAAGGTCTCGTTCCCATTTGGTACTGGATTTCTGAATTTTCTTTTCCTAACCAAATCCTTCACCATTCCCCTTGTTGTGAACGGCACCTCGACTTCGGCAGCATTCAGACCATGGAAGAGTAATTGAAAGGTATCTGAATGATGGAACATAATGATGTATTAGCATGCAATGATACAACAGACTTTGTTCAGGACCCGGCGCAGATTGTATGAAGGAACCAGGCTGGACTTCGCTTTTGGGGCGAAAAAACAAAAGGGATATCGTTTTTGTGGATGAGAGTTCTTTACGTTTGAAGGCTGAGAGTTAAAAAGGACTATGTAAAATTTCGCGAAATCAAGGGGGACTTCGTTTTCAAAAAGCCTAGAAACGAACTCATGCCGGGCCCTGTTCTGTTTCCTGAACATGCGCCTACGAAGAATTTTGTATAGCAGAATGGGGCAATATTTAGTGTTTGAAAAGTTTCTGGGGCGCGGTAGGTACGAAGGTTTTGAATTTCCAAATCGAGGTCCAAAATGGCATCTTGAAGGCTTCTGATCCAGGCCAGTGTTTTTAAAGATAGTGTTTCCGTTCCTTCGTCGTTTCTTTTATTGGTGACTCCAGTCAGCATATGGAAACTTTCGTATTCCTCTAACATAGGTGTCCACAATGATTGTTCAAATGACATCATAACTAACACGAGACTTCCGTTCACGCTTATGTCTTGAGAGTATCAGTGAAAGACTTCTACTTTGTTGAAGATCGTAAAATCCGGATTAAGAGTTGTTTTATTCATAATAGCTGATATATGTATCATTCTTCGTTAGAAGAGTTTCATAACAAAACATACCGTTGAACATCGAGTTTGCTACGAATCCACAAGGTGCATATGTCAAATTTGTACCCGGAATAGAATCTAGAGGTTTGCAGTCAGTGACCTAAAAAAATTCAACGTAATATGTTGTCTATATCTTAGCATTTGCTTAGACGGTGATGCCGTTGTTAAGCAAAAGTCTTACTTCTCTTATATGCCCAGCTAGTTGTAGATCATTTCGAGAGTTCATATAAAGCCTATGGTTTTGGTAAAATTGCGTCAGTCCATAGTAGAATTTAACTTCACCCTGCATACATTACTTTAGTTTTGAGAATCTGCTTTTCTCTTACGACTTACGCTGTAGTCCTCCATGATATCAAACGATAGGCGACACTGAGCAGTGACGTTGGGGTAGGCAATCCTAACAATCTTTTCCGTTGCGTTTCCATCCATCGACGTGCAGTTAGTGTATTTGATTACCAATTCCAAGGCTGAAACGTTAAAAAATATAACAGCTCGGACGACGAGATCAAACGGATAAATAATCAAGATATTGTATTTAGCATGTAAGATTCTGGACGATCTTATATTGTGTTGTTCCACAGAAAGAAGGATTCAAGCTGTATCAGTCATGACAAATCTTTAACATAATACCATCGTTGACGACGAGCTATCTTTTTGACCTCCCCCGTGAACGAACCTTTTTCGGGCATTTTCACTACCGGCTGCATGTATGTATGTATGCATCTATGCGTGAGGTACAAAAATGCAAGTGGGCGGGGTAGCTCTGCCCACTTTTGGCAAGCCCCGCCCACTTTGCTGAAAATTGCTCAAAATCAATGAATTCGTGCAAATTCCGGCATTTTTGAAAAGTGGGCGGAGGTTGCCACACAGGGGTGGGGCTTACATAATGGGGGGCGGGGTTAAAATTAAGATCATGCAAGGTTCTCCAGTCATCTACGAGCTTTTCTATGCGTTTTGAGAACGAAAGAAGTTTTTTGTGGAGGCCAACGGAGTGGGCGGTGTTTGCCAAACGAGGGGCGGGGTCAACACGAAAAACTTCTGAGCCTAAATTGATTACATGAACACAAATTGGAACCATTGTGCACATTGGAACTGGTATTTAGGGTTTCGCGCGCCATTGTGCGACATCGTCCACAGGGATAGACTGCCTGTCGCGCACCATTGCGCGATACTGTCGTCAACTTGTGTAAAAGTAATGAAATTGGGCAGCTGGCTTGTAAGCAAGCTGGATATCGTTTTTGGGACAAAAAGCAAAGGGGGTATTGTTTTTGAGACTGAATAAAAATTGTGGAGTTTTTTGATCGACGTTTCGTTTTTTGAAGGTTTTCTACATTTAGGTTTTAGGGACAAGGAGGACTTCATAAAAATTCAGTCAGGTGAAAGTCAGGTGACTTTGTTTTTTGCATTTTCCAAAAGCCATCTCCTGCCGAGCCCTGCTGATTAGGGACTGAAGTGATTTAATCTTTTGACATCAAATTGTTTTTCAGGAAGAGCTTTGTTATCAAGCACTCAGGAACAGTAAACATGCCCCGTATTTAGCCCTTTTCTTATATATTCTAAGAAATCATAAGAAATCTAAGAAAAAGAAGAAATCTAAGAAACCTAATTGAACTGCCTTCATACTATTACACTCGTTAGTATTAGCCTTTCTCTAGCTAAAATGAAATTTTTCAAAAATTAGGGAATTTTGGGAGCTTTTGTGATATATAATAGTTCGACGAGTCATGGCAATGGCATTGCAAATCTATATGGATCGTAGAACAAATGTAGATGTTGGAGAGGAGGAAACAACTCGAGCAGTAACTAAGTCGCTCATTGTTTGTGCTCTTTTAATTCAATCAAAAAAAAACTTGGAATTGCCCAAGATAGCATAAAATAACCTTTAATTCAACTGGCATGGCTGCTGAAAGGCAGGGCTTTGTGACCTAATTAAGGCAGCTCGCCCGCGACGCAGTCTGCGTCTCTTTCGCGCGCGTGCTCTTTGATCATAACCAGGGTTGAGCGTGCGGTCAGGCCCGCCCAACCTGGGGGATCGTATTGAGGGTAAGACTGAGGGGCGAGGGGGGGGGGGGGTCGTAATTAAGAATCGAATTTGTTAAGTTGGGAAGAGAAGGTACTGCGAAAGTGAAAGAAATGCGCTAGTCCAGTGGATATCGCGATCACATGAAGGAATGACGGTCGTAAACAGCATACTGACTGTTTCCACAATTGAAGTTTCAGCCAAAATACAATATTCATCTCTTTTACCTTGACATATGAGGTCGACAAGGAAGCTCGCTGTGAAATGGGTATCATTTCCATAATCAGCATGTCAAATTACCTCTATGCGCTCTACAAACCATTAATTACTGCAGTTTCTAGTATTTCTCAACGTCCAAAAAGCGTGATATTCAAACATAATCAACTTGGTTTCAGAAGTGAGAAAAGTCAGCTTTAGTATACTCATAACAAAGTAATGTTCTCTACAAGTCTATGCTACAAATCGGGCTACATATCGCTTTCAAACAGTGAAGTAAGAAGTGCTGCCAAAATTCTAACCGGCGCGTTTTTCACGTTGAGTGCTTCAACTCCTCGGATTAGCACAAGACCGAGACAAGTCGAATCAAGCTCAAACACTTACTGTGGAATCTTCGAGGATTGAGCCAGCGAATCACATAAAACTCTGATAGAAAAGCTTTTTCGGAAATAAAGTTAATGGGGTCAGGCGCAACCCTCAAAAGGTCAGGCCGCCTGAGCTTTTGAGGAGTTGCGCCTGACCCTCTTAACTTGCCTTCAACATTCAAAAATCGCCCCTTTTTTGATATAGGTATTGAGCGCAAAGCCTCTTCTTGCCATATTGAAAATTTGAAGCCAAACACTCCACCTCTGTGAAAATTATAGCTCTGAAAAGAGGACTATCCAAATCTAAAACTTGCCGTCAAGTTGCGTGTGGTTGTGCAATCGCAGAAAGTCGAGCCGACAGACTTTCAAAAATAGAAACCTGCAGTGCAGGCTGGCCTTCTTCAATATATAACACTCTAAGGACTTGGAGGTGAAACGGTGAGTCGTTTAGGGGCTTTCACAGGGGGGAGGGGTCGTTTTTGAAAGGTTTGTGCCTGAACTCTTGCTCAACCCTGATCATAACCTAGCCTTAATTAGGTCACGAAGCCCCGCCTTCCAGCCGTCAAGCCAGTTGAATCAAAGGGTAGTGACAGGCGAGTTTTGGCCAGTTTGCCACGCAGCTGTTTCTACGATTTGTGACTAATAATTTTCTATCTCCTCCACACTTTTGCAAACGAAAATTCTTTCACTCACAAGAACTGGCAGCAACCATGAGCAGAACCCCAACGCCAATGAATATAAAACCAACGACGATAGTACAAGGCAAAGTGTTCCGTGTATTGATGACAGGACGATATGCAGGTATCCGTTGTTGTCGCCAGACACTATCTGAAGTGCTTACATTTTTCAAAGGTAGCAGTCTCGAATTTAATAGGTCTTCAATACATAATCGGTTTTATCCTACCCTTATCCAACTTTTCCACAAGAAGGAATTCCTCAAAAGGAAGGCAAGAATTTTAGAACCTCAACCTCACATGCAAGCTTTCTAACCATAATGCGAAATAATCTCTTTATATATAAAGCAAAAAATTTGTATGTTTGAGCACATTCCCCATAGTCATAGAGGAGACCGGTGTTTCAAAGCGAGCTCAAGACGAGTCTGAATTAAAAGAAGGATTTCGCTAACTGAGAGGTCAAGCACAATAGAATAGACTGGTTCCAAACCGAGGTGAAACCCGGGATGCCAGCTCATAATATTTACAAATTTAGCAGCTTCAACATTAACTACTTGATAAAAGGAAATTTTTGCATAAGTCTTTAACCTGCAGTTCTCCTATTTTCAGAACAGAATGGCCTAGATAATTGCAAGCATGAAAAAGCTAAGTACCTTTTGGCTTGTTCCTCTTTCCTCGATAGCGAGGAATCTTTGGAATATCGTCTGGCATCACATCCGTTATTTCAACATCAGATCAGTATGTGTGTAAATTTTTTCCTAGAGACACTGCTTCGGCAATTTTTTTGCGAGATTGCGCTAGTAATACGGATGCCTGAAATGAATTTTTGAAGAAAAAAGGGTAATTTTTACAGTCAATCAAAAGTCTTTGTCGAGTTATTATAGTCGAGAGTACATAATAAGATTATCAGGTATTTTGCGTTTGATATATCGAGTTATATTGACAGCTGTTCTACAAGTGACTTCATAAACGACAAATTGAAATAACGAGGCGGTAACTTGGATAAGACGGTAATTCAAAATAGCGGGAGTCTATAACCCAGAAAACAGACAGAAAACATCCACATCGACTTTGTCTCGAGTGCAATGTTGACATCTGCGACCTAGCAGAAGTATGCACATCCTGTCCGCTGCTCAAAATCAAGTAGATTGGTGGGGAAACACAAAGTATTCTTCTGACATTCTTGGTATGCATGTCTTGCAGTCTTTTTGGTACTAGGTTGGTGTAAAAATTCTTGCGCATGAGGAACAAAAGTCAGTGAATCTCATTCGTAAACTCAGAATCTAGTTCTGTATTGAAAAAGTATATTAGAAAGAGTTGCGCTTCACGGGAGTAGTTGATTGCAACACTGTGGCAAACTTTTTCGCATGAAAATGCAAAGTTGAAAATCTGTGAAAGATAGCAATTCAGAGTATGTAAGGCTTTATACAATTACCGTAAATCTATAGAAGGGGGGCTATCGTGCAGAATCAGTTAGATTTCTTAAGTTGCGCGATAACTCTCTAGGCCAATTTTCAGTCTTTTAGCCAAAATTTTGACGATCTGGGATTTGGGATCCCCCTTTTAGCATATACCATAACTCTCATTCGCGAAATTTGACTTAGTATTTGTTAGCTCACGCCATAAACTACAGGGTTGGCCATAAATATAGCAACAAGGTTTTCACCTTGTATCTCAGAAAGGAAAAGTGCAAACGAGTCATGAACATAACATTTATTAAGTAACAACTGGTACATTAACAATCATAAGTTACTTCTCGATTCGGGCACCTTTGGCACGGACGACAGGGCAAAGTCGCCTGGGAAAGGCGTCGATGACCGGACGCAGGAGTGCCTCGTCGATTGTGTCCCATTCTCGAATGAGCGCTGCCTTCAGAGAATCCAAATAAGGGTGGGGAGTGGCGCAGGCCTTGCTCTCAAGGTAGGACCACAAGATGTAGTCCAGTGGGCTCAAATCCGGTGACGATGCCAACCATTCTTTTGCCGGGATGAAGTCGGGGAGTTCGCTCTTGCACCACGCTTGGACGACCTTGGCCTTGTGGGCGGGCGCCGAATTTTGCTGGAATGTCCACGGGCGGCGTGTGGAGTGGGAATTCGCCCACGGGAGTAGAGCATCTTCCAAAATCGTCTTCAGGTAGTAATCTTTGTCGATTTTGACGCCGGGGTCGACGAATGACGGCCGGGACGACCTTCGGACGGCCCCTCGACGACCTTCGGCGTGCGAGCAGTACGAGGTCTTCCACTTCTTCGGCGGTCTTGGAGTCCACCAAGGTCTCGATAAAGTTGGAGTGTGCGATACACGACGCTGCGGTGGATGCCGAGGTGCTTACATAGCGATCGTGGCGGGTGGGCGGCCGGCTTCGTGCAGACGAAGGATAGCGGTACGATCAGGAGAAGGCTTCACCATTTCACTATAAATGGACTAAATTTAACCAAATTTTAAGAGGAGTTAGAAAAAATGATGAGATTGAAAAATCGATGAAACTGGCGCGCTATGTGCGCGATAGAATAGTACGCTAATTGCAGTAAATCTTGTCGCTATAGTTATGGCCAACCCTGTATATAAAAAACGAACTTCGAATGCGTCACACTTAGAAAGAGAGAAGATTTATCAAAAGCCGCTTGCAAAACTTAGTTTTTAATTCAAGTTATTTGATGGCATTTAATATGAGGCCTTGATCTCAAACCAACCATTTCCTCCATCATAGATCTAAAATATTGAAGGAAGACTGATTGGATAGATCTTCTTGAAAATCAATCGCTAATCTAGAACAGTTGAAGGTGCTGTAGTACACACTTCATAATTTCATTTGATCAGAGAAGATTTTATTCGAGACCTAATTTTAAGGAAAAGGGAGTTGCAAAAGCGTTAGTATAAACTTTTGCATTCAGAAACGTATACACCTTATTTTTCGTTCACATTCTACCCTGGTATTAAAAGTCAAATATTTATTGAATTTCATATAGTTCCTAGATTTTGGTGTAAAGGGACACGTCTCAGTCTAATAGAGAAATAGAGTTTGTGACAAATCCGATTAACATGAGCACTTGATTAAGTAAAAAATAGATCAAGAATAAGGCAGAAGAAGAATTCTGAAAGTTGCAAATAACGTTGATTTCACAGAGAAGATTTAAGAGCTATTTCGTAATGAAGGGGGAGATAAATGTCGAAAAATTCGCATTTGTATGTACTATGCAGTCTTATCATTCACAATATATCTGCTAAAAAAAGGAACATAAAACTACTGATTTCATCTGGAGTAGTAGACACGTGCAGCTTCATGTGTAATTTTTATAACTGTCTTTTCTATACTTATATTTTGTTGTGGGAAAGATTAAACGGGTTTCAAAGGCAGAACTGTTGATAGTCAAAGCTAGGAGGTAACTGGAGAAAACTCTCTAATTTTATGCACCTATATGTAGTAGAAAAATGAGTTATGCTTTGGTTTTAATCCGTACAAAATAAGTAATTGTCTGTGTTTAGCAGTAAACAATTCCTCATGTGTAATAGGACCTTAACCCAGCAATCAACACTGGTAGTATGTTTTGTTTTTACTAAAATGTTTTGTAGAAGGCGAAAATAAAGGAAAATGACTTATCAGTGAATTTCAATAAAGCAAGAGAATGTGCTAATGTGAATGTCGTGAAGACAATCAATTCTGCGCCATCTCAAAGCATCTGATAACAGTTGACAAGAGCGTTTTCTTTGTAGAAGCCGCTTAGCTTTGATGAAAAAAAATCGTGTGTATTTTTTATACCTACAATGTTCGAAAAAACTTGCAGTTCTTGTGGATAAGCTGAGAATAGATGTTTCAGTTTTTTTCAATTTTTTTGCACTGTGAGAACATACAAACAATTTTTGTGGTTTTCATAAGTGATAATAACATACAGGAAAGCCTTGAGAAGAAAATTTTTGCTATGTTACCTGAGATAATAATATATCAGGTTGGCTAATAAATAATTTCTGTTGCTTTTTCAGCTCTTACAAATGCTGTAGACAATTTTTTGTCCAATATCTGGTACCTCTGAAAAGAGCACGTCACTGGGTATTGGAGCATATGTTCTGTTTGAGTAAAACTTATCTTCCAAGGAAAAAAATCCGCAAAGAAGTGAAAAATCGCAATTTTCTCGTAATGCGCAAATATGAGGAAATTTGGTTTTCTTAGCGAAACATTTTCAAGATGGCAAATCACAGTTCTTTTTGTTGTTCACCAAATAGGGATAACTCCTCCGTATCCAAACACAATCTGCTGTTCTTTACATCCATTACAGCACGAAAACGAAGCTCAAGAAGCCAAGGAATTGAGCTTTTGGAAATTTCGCCATGTTGAGGCATAACCGTCTTTACTGACGATAGAAAATCCTGATTATGTGATATGTGTCAGAGAAAACTTCGATCTACTTTCACACAAAGAATCATAGATTGAAAACGACAAGAAAATTTTTTTGTGATAATTTGTATGCCAAACGAATTTATTTTTTAGCCAACCTAATAATATTAGATTGATGCAAAAGTTTTGTCGCATCATTTTTGAAAAATCACAACTTCTCGCTTTCCAAACGGTTTTGCACAAACTTAATTTTGCTAGATAGCAGTAACCATTATCTTCGTGGTGTCTTTCTTGCTTTCTAATAAGGGGTAGCTTTTAGGATGGAAGCAGGAGAAAAAAATCACTTCAACTTCGATCATTTTGAGTTAGGCTGCTAAAAATCTGAAATATGCGATAAAATTCCCAACAAGCAGTACAGCAATTCTTTTGATCCACCCTTTCCAACACTGCGAAGATCCTATCAAATGGGCAACTCTGCGTAGAGCTATGATTTTAGGGTAAGCAATACAAAACAGCAAATTTGTTTTTTTGGCATACCTTTCGAAAATCATGGCTCTACGCAGAGATGCTCATTTGATACAAACTTTGCTTGCACTATTGAAAAGAGTGGATCAAAAAACTCAATATACTGCTTGTTGGGAGATTTATCGCAAGTTTCAGATCTTTAGTTTCAGATCTTAGCTTAATTTAAAATAACCGAAGTTACAGTGATTTCATTCTCCTGTCTATCTATTTATCTCAAAAGTTACCCCTCATTAGAGAGCTGCAAAAGAGCTGTCACAAAAAGTGGTTTTTACCTAGCAAAAATAAATTTGTGCAATTCCGTTGAGAGAGCAAGAGGTTGTGATCTTTCAAAAATGATGCACAAGAACTTTTGCATTAACTAATATATTTCTGCCACTGTTGGTGATATCTCAAACTTGTTATCGATGACCAGATCCTCAATTATTTGATTGAATTCGCATCATTCAAAAGAACGATTGACATTCTAGCATAATATTTGCATATTTTACGTAGAACCTTTGAAAATCAGAACAACAATCCATGGAACAATGCTCAGTTTGCAGAAATTTTTTTAAGAATCTCATTTAGGATGTGAGCACTAATTTATGCAAGCGGCCCCGGCAGAATTTTGGGTAATCACGCAAGAGAGATGTGAAGATATGCACATGTAGCTCGCAACATCGGTTTTGTGAAAAATTCGGAAAGGTAGGAGCTGTATTGATTGTGTATGACTAGTCGGTGAGCAAATAGAAGCTTGAACGTGGCCTCGCTGACTCGCTTGCTCAGATTTTTAGGTGTAGGAAAGAAATCAAAGATCGAAGTGAGAGGAGAATAGAGCAAAAGTCAGCATTTTTCAAAAGTTAAGAAAATAGTTCAACGAAAAGATTGTTTGTATAGGAATGCAAATGGTACAGCAAACACAGGTGCTTGTATGCGCGGAAAAGTTCAAAGATCGTGGAAAAGCAGTTTTCGCGTGTGTTTGTCA